AGCCAATTCCTTGTGCGCTGTGCACTGTTCGCTGAGATGATCCACTCGTTTCTGAATACATTCCATCATCTCATGGATACCTGTCACCTTAGAGCCGCAGGAGTCTACTTGGCTGATTAAGGCCTGTCCCTTTTGCAGAGCATCGGCTGCGGAGTCTTTAATTTCTCTGTGTAATTCCTCATGCCTCACTGCCAAGACAGGCAGGCTTAAACCCTCTGATTTAAGGAGCTTAAGGTAAGCTTCGACTTTTCCAAGTACATCAAATGCCTTATTAGCCCTGTTAAAAAAGTCATGTGCCATTGTCAACCAGGCTTTTCTTTCCACCATGAGTCGACCAAACTCTTCCTGCAGTCGACTCAGTTTCTGGTTCGAGAGCTGTAGGTGTTCTTTTTCTGTGAAGTCCTTGGACAGTAGGATCTCCAGGGCCTGGCTCTTCAGCTTCTCTATGGCTGAATTCCATTCCTTAGCTCTGGCTTCCAGGTCCTCGTGCTTACGGATTAGCTCCTTGTTGTCGGAAAGTGACGAACCCAGACTCTGTTCCCGCAGATCTCTGATCATTTTCTGAAACCAACAAGTAACCTGGTTTTCTTGTTGGTCCCACAGACACAACTGTAGAACCTGAGCCAGTTCCTGCCGCTGTTGCTGCAAGTTCTTGACCAACTGTCTTCTCCTGTCTTGTAGAAGTTCAAGGAGGCTGTCGATCTTCAGACAGCTACTCTGAGCTCCCTGAATCAGCTCAGAATTCATATTAGATCCATCACACTTGAATTTTTCTATGAAGTCAGTGAGTTGTTGACTTTTGTTTAAAAGGACTAGGGATCTTTCTAGGAGTTCTTTGGCATGGCGGTCATGAAGCTGAAGAAGTGACTGTAAGGTCTCCACGCTCCCAAACTCATGAGGATTCTGCAGGAAAGCTTCAGCTTGGTCTATTTTTATAGCAAACTCCAAAGCACTTTCAAAAAACTCAGAAGTCAGCTCTAGGAGCTCCCTTCTTCTTTCAAGCATGCAGACCAGGGTTGTCCATGCTTCACCCAGAGTCTGGGCCATGGCATCATACACCTGACCTTGAGCCTTGTTAGCTTCCGCTGTCCTGTCTGCTTCCTGTAAGAGTTCCCACACACGATCTTCCAAGGCCAACTGGCTCCTTGCTCATCCAAGGACCACCTTCCCAGGAATGGCGCTGCCCACCCTGTCTGTGTTTTTAACATAAAACTTAACTAATGAATTAATGAGCTACCAACGTGAAGCCTTGGGGGAGGGGGGATCAGGGAAAGTTGTTAAACTGGTAAATCTATCAGTACCCTAGTCATCAAACACATCAGATCTGAGAAGGATAAATTTCACCTACATAAACAGAAGTGAGATAACTTTCCGGCTACCAAGGCAGCTACCCCAGGTTTCTGCCTGGTCATTGGGGACAGAAGTCCCAGGGCAGTATAAGTCTTTAGCTGCCAGATCCAGAAGGTCTGACAGACTTTCCTGTGGAGTAGGAATTTGGGGAGCCTTGCCTAGCTTGTCTTGGTAAAGCAGAACAAATCAATGCTTGTCCATAGTGTGGACAGGGTCTTTGCAGCAGCTAAGGTGCAAAGCAGTTTTACCCTCTGTGACTGGCTTTGCTACATTTGAAGCAAGTTCCAGGTGGAAGTTCTTCTGTGGCCATCCATTTTCCTTGGAGGAGATACTGGATGCTGCTAGGAGCTGGCATGTCTCTATCATGAGCTTTTTTTTTTTTTTTAATTAAATGTCATAGTCTCTGGAGTGTTTAAGCATCAGGGGATCATTATCTGTTAGGTATAATCAGTTTAGTATCTCTAGAAGGCAAAACCCGGTTTTTTACAGTGTAAACAATTTAGTGTTTCTAAAATCAGTATCAGGGAGATTACTCTTATGTTACAAAATTTGGCTGCCAGCAAGATATAATCCCTGTACATGAATGTATGGAGGTGCAGCTTTAATACCTCAGTAAACCAGCATTGTTTTAAACCCTATCTTTCATAAACCTAGTTTTCAGGACAGGGAAAAATATCATATAGAAATCTATCCTAATCCAAGATATCTTGGAGACCTGTTGTCTCTTGGTGGACCCACTCCATATTTATTCAAGATGGCAGTGAAGTCATATGATCTTCCTTCCTGTTCTCCATCCTTAGTCAAATGGTGGTTGCCCATGTGGCTGTACTTATCAAGATGGTGGCAGACTGTGTACTGTTTTCCAGGGCAGTTCTAATTTGGAGTTACCGGTTTTAAGTTAACATTTGGTTATAGGTTTTCAACCATACCCAATTTCTTAGATGTTTTTTCTTTAATAAGGTAGAACAGCATAAAATAACTTTCTCTATCATTACATCAGATTGAGGGCCAGAAAAGGTCCAGAGGTAAATTCTGAGCCCAGGCAGCTAGTTGCAATAACAGCTGAACTATTACCAAGACACATGGAACATATAAACTCGGGCATCCAAGACCAGTTAGAAACAAGCATGTAGTGGCCACATACATTTCCACCCACACATACAAAATAGATGGGACTTAATAGAAGGGAAAAAAATCCATGGGAATTCATGTCAGATGAACAACTTACAAATCCTGAAATGTGAGTTTACAGTGTAGAGCAGTATGTAAGAAACCACAGGAATAAAAGACTTTTCCTGGCCGTGACACAGCTCCTATTGGGCCAGCCCACCATGGGAGGCCAGGAGCTGCCACTCATGGTACCAGGCTCTCAGAGAGCAGGGTCCGAGGTGGACGGGGCACCACAGGCTCACAAGCAACAATGCCTCGGGCCCCTGATGTGGAAGGAGAAGGCGCTTCAGAGGGAACCGAGAAACAGAGTAGTGGTGCAGACTGCCCAAGACTGAAAGAAAGCCCGATGAGCAAGCCGGAACAGCAAGTGTAGGGGATTGGAAAAGAGATTTTTTTTTTTTTTAGAAGAGAGGAAGGTGTAGCAGAGTTTATTCACGGAGAACAGATTCGTTACAGGCAGAATGGGTGGACAGAATTCTAGCATAGTGAAAGATCCCAGCATACTAGCTTAGCCTAACGCCATTTCAAGTAAGGTCTGAAAAGCGCAGGGTGTCTACGGCCGGCCTCCTGGCCCCAGAAAAGGG